ACTGTTGCTAGAGGCACGAGAATTGATGGTTTCGGCACTTCCCCTATGATGATGGTCTGAAAGGTTATCAGCACACACAGGTTAAATTATGGTTGTTGGCTACTAATCGCTGAACTTCTTCCGCATTCGCCCTAACAATGGCAGTTAGCACAATGTTTCTCTAGGCTGTAATATCTGCACCCTTCAGTCAAGCAAATCAGTTTGAACAAAGTTCTCATTAGTAATCTTGTACAACATGCTTATTGGAGGGCAGAGGGCATAGGGGGGGGGGGGGGTTAGTGACCACACCCAACTATGGGGGACATAACACACAGCGAATTTTTCAACCGGGACACCACATGAAATTTCCAGGGCACATGGGGACCCACACATGGACACACATGGGGACCACAACAGGGAATTTTCCACATGGGGGTGTACCACAATACCATGTTTACATACCTAGTGACTTTTACACATTTGCAACCTAGTGGGGATTCTTTTCCAGTCATAGTTCCCAACAACTATGGAACCAAGGATACTAAAGAAAATTGTTACACACATGCAGTTGCTAGACTTTCCACTGATTCTCCTAGGGTCCTCACTCTTGCTTTCACGGGACACACTGGCATTTTCCACATACTGGACACACATAGGGAATTTTCCACATATGGGACACACAAACAGAATTGTTCACAAATGTGACATACACACAGAGAATTTTCAACATACGGGACACACATGAAATTTTCCACACATGGGGACACACAGGGAATTTTCCACACATGGGGACACACACAGGGAATTTTCCACATATGGGACACACGTGAAATTTTACACACATGGGGACACACAAAGAGAATTTTCCACATACGGGACACACAGAGAATGTACCACATATGTGTTACATACATACAGAATTTTCCACATTTGCAACACACACGGATTTTCCATATACAGGACACACATGGAATTTTTCCACAGCTGGGACACACATACAGGAACCATATGGAACACACAGAGGGAAACTGACCAACAATTCCACACAGTTAAAATATGATTAGGAACTTGTAAGCAAGGATAAAATGAAAACACCCAAAGCAGATTCTGTAACTTCTTGCCGTCTTTAGTCATCATCCTTGTCAATTTTCACTTCTGCCATTTAAGTGTTGTGGGGAGGAACAGTTTGTGATCCACTGCTTGATGGGTAACAAAGGCTGCTGTCATTCTATGTTGATGTAGCTCTTTAATGTTACCACAAATATATATACACACAGACATACATACATATATACACATGCACGCATGCGTGGCACGCACGGACACACACACAGAAACACACACGCATGCACACACTGTCCACCTCACCATCGGTCAGCATGCCGGTTAGCTCTAAGCTGTCAGCCCACCAAAAGAAATTAACCTCGATATCCCTGAGTGAGACATGGTCAGATAAGACACGATTCAACCTCGATGTCCCTGGGAGATTATCTGTGTCTAAAATCTTTAACAGTCTAACAGTATATGAAACAAAGCCAGGGACAGACATTATCACTTGCAGCTAATGATACAGCAAAGTGGTTGAACCGTTTGCCTCATGGTCTGAAGGTTGTGGGTTTATTTCCCAGACAATCTGCTCAGTTCACGACTGCAGTTTTGGATGGAGATCCCTGGGGACTGTTGCTAGAGCTACAGAGTTTGTGCTATTTACAACACTCTCAGCAGATGGCTAATTGTTCTGCCGAGACGGACCAAAATATATGTCATAACACAGAGTCAGGAAGTCAAGCCTCTCGATATGATATTAAATGTTGATGTGACTACGACCAATAACGGGTATCATAACCTCTCTTTTTCCCCCGCTGCTTGCAGTTTCATCCCAGCAGGGATGAGCAGAGTTCAAACCTTAGATAAACATATGGAAGTCAAAGTGAAGCCATACTAGTATATCTCGAACACATCAAGAATTATCAACTAACACAGTGTCAGAAAAATAACCAGTTGCTCAAGAAGCAGATAAAAATCATTAATTGGTTTAAAAAAACAAATCAACAGATACGTATAATATGATTAAAGATTGGTTGGTTGGTTTGACTGATTACAGAAATAGTTTGGAAGCTGGAGTTTTGGTGCCATGTGTACGAACTGTGTGCGATAAATGTCAGACACGGATATTCCTAGAAAAACAAATGCAAAATTACAACATGTAAGATGGGATGTATAATAAACGAGGCAGGGAGAACAAGAAGAGACAAGAGTCACCATTACAAAACTAAGAATAACAGTAGGCAAAGTACCAGTGAATGATTTCAAAGAGCACCAAAGAATCGAATGGTTTGGTCATCTGGTCAGGATGAAACAAAAACAGCCAGCAGCTAGAGCATACTGCATGAGAACAGCAGGCTAAAGGTCACGCCATGGCTTCAACTGGGACAGTCAATCATGATGTGTCTTATCTGTTTAGTTACAGAGTGTTGAATGACCCTGCATCCAGTGTCCTGTCAGTTTAATCACAGAGTGTTGTATGAACCTACATCCAGTGTCCTGTCTGTTCAATCACAGAGTGTTGAATGAACCTGCATCCAGTGTCCTGTCTGTTCAATCACAGAGTGTTGTATGAACCTGCATCCAGTGTCCTGTCTGTTCAATCACAGAGTGTTGTATGAACCTGCATCCAGTGTCCTGTCTGTTCAATCACAGAGTGTTGTATGAACCTACATCCAGTGTCCTGTCTGTTCAATCACAGAGTGTTGTATGAACCTACATCCAGTGTCCTGTCTGTTCAATCACAGAGTGTTGTATGAACCTGCATCCAGTGTCCTGTCTGTTCAATCACAGAGTGTTGTATGAACCTACATCCAGTGTCCTGTCTGTTCAATCACAGAGTGTTGTATGAACCTACATCCAGTGTCCTGTCTGTTCAATCACAGAGTGTTGTATGAACCTACATCCAGTGTCCTGTCTGTTCAATCACAGAGTGTTGTATGAACCTGCATCCAGTGTCCTGTCTGTTTAATCACAGAGTTTTGTATGGGCCTTTAGTTCTGTAAACACTGACAACAGGAGATGAACAAAATACAGTTGAGTCTGGATAAGTAGAAGTCGTAGGGACCTAAGAAAATACTTTCACTTATCAGGGCTTCTACTTATCCAGACAGCACACACACACTAGAGAAAATTGCCGGGACTAAGCTAGTCATGTCGACTTAACCGAAATTGGACTTATCTGAGTTTTGGCTTAAGTGAACTAGACTGTAATCTATGTTTGCCAATATAAAACAAGGAAAGTAACCAGGTAACCAAGATTGCCAGAATATGAACTAGGCTTGGGTTGTATGAACCAGAGATTTCAGTTCTGAAATATATGAAGATGAGATTTCAGTTCTGAAATATATGAAGATGAGATTTCAGTTCTGAAATATATGAAGATGAGATTTCAGTTCTGAGACCTATGCACCTGATTTTAAATTCTGAGATGTATGGACCCTAGGCTTCAGTTCCAAGATGTACAAACCTGAGACTTCAGTTCTGATATGTACAAACCTGAGATTTCAATTTTGATATGTACAAACCTGAGATTTCTGTTTTGATATCTACGAACCTGAGATTTCAATTTGATATGTACGAACCTGAGACTTCAGTTTTGATATGTACGAACCTTAGATTTCAGGTTTGATATGCACAAACCTGAGATTCCAGTTTTGATATGTACGAACCTGATATTTCTGTTCTAATATGTACGAACCTTAGATTTCAGGTTTGATATGTACGAACCTGATATTTCAGTTTTGATATGTACGAACCTGAGATTTCAGGTTTGATATGTACGAACCTGAGATTTCTGTTCTGATATGTACAAACCTTAGATTTCAGGTTTGATATGTACGAACCTGAGATTTCAGTTCTGATATGTACGAACCTGAGATTTCAGTTTTGATATGTACAAACCTGAGATTTCAGTTTTGATATGTACGAACCTGAGATTTCAATTTTGATATGTACGAACCTTTGATTTCAGGTTTGATATGTATGAACCTGAGATTTCAGTTCTGATATGTACGAACCTGAGATTTCAGTTCTGATATGTACGAACCTGGGATTTCAGTTTTGATATGTACGAACCTGAGATTTGAGGTTTGATATGTATGAACCTGAGATTTCTGTTCTGATATCTACGAACCTGAGATTTCAGTTTTGATATGCACGAACCTGAGATTTCAGTTTTGATATGTGCGAACCTGAGATTTCAGTTTTGATATGTACTAACCTGAGATTTCTGTTTTGATATGTACGAACCTGAGACTTCAGTTTTGATATGTACAAACCGGAGATTTCTGTTTTGATATGTACGAACCTGAAATTTCAGTTTTGATTTGTACGAACCTGAGATTTCAGTTTTGATATGTACGAACATAAGATTTCAGTTTTGATATGTACGATCCTGAGATTTCAGTTTTGATATGTACGAACCTTTGATTTCAGGTTTGATATGTATGAACCTGAGATTTCAGTTATGATATGTACGAACCCGAGATTTCAGTTCTGATATGTACGAACCTGGGATTTCAGTTTTGATATGTACGAACCTGAGTTTTCAGGTTTGATATGTACGAACCTGAGATTTCTGTTCTGATATCTACGAACCTTAGATTTCAGGTTTGATATGTACGAACCTGAGATTTCAGTTTTGATATGTACGAACCTTTGATTTCAGGTTTGATATGTATGAACCTGAGATTTCAGTTCTGATATGTACGAACCTGAGATTTCAGTTCTGATATGTACGAACCTGGGATTTCAGTTTTGATATGTACGAACCTGAGATTTCAGGTTTGATAAGTACGAACCTGAGATTTCTGTTCTGATATCTACGAACCTGAGATTTCAGTTTTGATATGCACGAACCTGAGATTTCAGTTTTGATATGTGCGAACCTGAGATTTCAGTTTTGATATGTACTAACCTGAGATTTCAGTTTTGATATGTATGAACTTGAGATTTCAGTTTTGATGTGTACGAACCTGAGATTTCAGTTTTGATGTGTACATGGTAGCCAACTGGCACCACCATCCTGCACTCTGGAGGGGACTTGAACCGCATCAGCCGGGTGTCGTGTGTGACCGTCGTGTTGCTGACCACTGTCCAGGTGCGATAGCGACATTCTGTGGATCAATCAGAGGCCAAAGATTCATTACAGGACAAATACTAAAGACAGTTCAACACAGACATTGAAGACAGTTCAACACGGACATTTAAAACAGTTTAAAGTGTCAATATCTGACCCAAAGTTTACTCAAAGTGAAGAGAAGATATGCCTTTAGGAAAGTCTGAAGGGTCACTAAAAGACACATATTCAAGACAGTTAAAGACAGACAACACACACACTGAAGACAGATTCAAGTGTCAATATGTGATGCACAGTTTACACACAGTGAAGACAAGATATACTTTTAGGAAAGTTTCGGATGTCATTGAAGGATATATATTCAAGACAGTTTAAGATACATAATGCATACACTGAAGACAGATTGAAGTGTGAATATGTGACACAAAGTCTACACAGAATAAAGACAAGTTATACCTTCAGGAAAGTGTCTAGTGTCATTGAATGGCACATACTGAAGAGTCTATGATGCACAACATATGCATGTAAGAACAGTTTACGACAAAACATATATTTAAGAGTTTTAGATAGGCAACACATACACTAAACACAGTCTGAGGAGCTAATACTGACACAGATAGAAGTGAGTCAATGTGAAGACTGCGTATGTTGGACCAGTAATCATTGGACATATACAAGAGACAAACTGAATGGTCAGCTCTAAAGACAGGTAATGACTTAATAATTAAAATAAATTTGGAGACCCTTCAGTGAACAAAGGCCCACAAGATCTACAAGGGCACCTTATCTTCTGAAATCTAAAAGTTACAAATACTACTATCAGTCATGCCCCCCTTGCTCAGAAGAAAACTTGTAACTTCCAAGAAATTTCTGGACTGTCATCTGTTGAAACAGGCACACAACAAATTCTGATCACTGATCAGGTGATCCATGAAAGCAACACAAGCAGACCTCACAGGCAGACCTCAGAGGCAGAACTCAAAGGCAGACCTCACAGGCAGACCTCACAGGCAGACCTCACAAGAAGACCTCACAGGCAGACCTCACCTATACTCTTTGTTCTCACAAAAGCCTCGTGGTCCTTCAGAGGTGTGCCCAATGACTGCCATGTGACATCGGGCTCTTCCTTCTGTAGAATGACTTCCACAGTCCCTGGGGATTTCATCTTCACTGAAGAAAAAAAAACAGACAATAAAAGATGATAAACTCCATGCAATTTCTAATTACCTATGTTTACACGTACATGCTCAGTCATTAAATGCTGCTACTCCAAAGTACCTCTAATGACACTCGTTGTTGAAAACCAAACAATGCTAGGGCATCCATCTCTCTGGCCCTCAGCCTTGTAGTGACACCTGCCTGAGTTTCTTTGATGTGGCCCTGTTTCAAGTGATGATTACCTCATACCTGCAAAAGCTGGACAAATGATGTTTTAATAAACCTCAGCATGGATGTCAGTGACAGACCTCCGGCTGCCAGATGTTCATCTTGAGTTCTCCATATCCCACTGGCATCTTGAGTTTTCCGTATCCCACTGGCATCTTGAGTTTTCCGTATCCCACTGGCATCTTGAGTTCTCCATATCCCACTGGCATCTTGAGTTTTCCGTATCCCACTGGCATCTTGAGTTTTCCGTATCCCACTGGCATCTTGATTTCTCCATATTCCACTGGCATCTTGAGTTCTCCATATCCCACTGGAATCTTAAGTTCTCCATATCCCACTGGCATCTTGAGTTCTCCATATCCCACTGGAATCTTGAGTTCTCCATATCCCACTGGAATCTTGAGTTCTCCGTATCCCACTGGCATCTTGAGTTCTCCGTATCCCACTGGCATCTTGAGTTCTCCATATCCCACTGGAATCTTGAGTTCTCCGTATCCCACTGGCATCTTGAGTTCTCCATATCCCACTGGAATCTTGAGTTCTCCATATCCCACTGGTGAATGGGACTGTTTGATTCTGTTCCCTGCAGAAAATGTGTCAGTCGGCTCAATTCTGACGAACTGCCCAGCCTTCTGATCTAATCACTTTCTTGTTCTTCTGCTTGTGCCCTACTGTTGAAGTTATTAAGCACTCTGCCCTACTATTGAAGCCACAAAGAATGGCAGAAAGCAGTTAGATGTAGTTTCCTGTCTTCTGCTAGTTGCATAGCTTGGGCTTCTGTCATACTGTGTTTCTCTTTGCCTTTTTGACTTCCTCCACCCATCCATTTCCTGGTGTGTGTGTGTGTGTGTATGTATGGGTGTGTGTGTGTGTATGCACAGATGTGTGTGTGTGCACAGATGTGTGTGCATGCATGCACATTTGTATGTGTGTGTGCATGCACGTGCATTTGTTTGTGTGTGTGTGTGTGCGCGCATGCAGATTGTGTACGTGCACATGCCAGTAAAGACACATAAAGATTATATAAGCCAACACAGTGTCTCTGTCTTCATAAAGTACTATATAAACCAACAAGCTGTCCGTGCCTTGACAAAGGATTCTGTACCGCCATGAAACAAGAATATACAACAGACAGGTGTCTGAATTTAGACAACATGGCAGGTACTTTGATTCCGTCCCAACAAGAAACAGGGATTTCTGTTACCCAATATTTCACCAACAACATCAGTTTGCCCTGGCTCAGTTAGGCTTCCAGCATGAATTCTGGGAAACCCAGACTCTACAGACAGCATGATCTCTCTTTACCTCCACTATAATAAGGTGAACAAATTATCACTTCTATAAGAGCGACAAGTTATCAATAGAATCTTTCCTAGTGGCATTTAGTATTTTTTAAAAGGACTTTGGTGGCTCTTAGGTTGATACAGCCTTGAGTAGGTACCAGATAAAATCCTGGGAAGTAAAGGTGGCTGCCGGCGTGATGTTGACGACATCACCTACCGAGAGCTGATTGGTCTATAAAACACAGTATTAGCACTTTATGCCCAATACGCCCGAAGGCACAGAACATGTTCTTTTACTGAACTTTATTTAGTGTCTTTACTGGTGTATGGTTGGAACATATCCACAAACAATACAGAAATTAATCCAATGAACAGAGACACAGATTGAGGGGAAGTTAATGACAAAAAGATGGACAGTCTGAACAGAGACACAGATTAAGGGGAAGGTAATGACAAAAACATGGACAGTCTGAACAGAGACAAAGATTAGGTGGAAGGCAACTACACAAAGATGAACAGTCTGAACAGAGACAAAGATTAGGTAGAAGGCAACTACACAAAGATGGACATTCTGAACAGAGACACAGTTTAAGGGGAAGGTAACGACAAAAACATGGACAGTCTGAACAGAGACACAGATTAAGGGGAAGGTAACGACAAAAACATGGACAGTCTGAACAGAGACACAGATTAAGTGGAAGGCAACTACACAAAGATGGACAGTCTTAAGAGAGACACAGATTAAGGGGAAAGTAATGACAAAAACATGGACAGTCTGAACAGAGACACAGATTAAGGGGGAGGTAACGATTTAAGGGGTCTGAGGAGACACAGATTAACGGACAAAAACATGGACAGTCTGAACAGAGACACAGATTACAAGGCAACTTAAAGGACAGTCTGAAGCAGACCACAGTTAATGACAAAACACAAAAGACACAGTCTGAACAGAGACACAGATTAAGTGGAAGGCAACTACACAAAGATGGACAGTCTGAAGAGAGACACAGATTAAAGGGAAGGTAATGACAAAAACATGGACAGTCTGAACAGAGACACAGATTAAGGGGAAGGTAACAACAAAAACACAGACAGTCTGAATAGAGACACATATTAAAGGGAAGGCATCTTAACAAACACGGACAGTCTGAACAGAGACACAGAGGACTCTACTTACCCTGGCAATCATTAAATATTGCCTCTGATGGTTCTAGAAAAGAAAAACAAACAATCTGATTTAGGATAAACTGAACAGGAAACTATCAACATCAAATACTCAGCTGGGAGCTGCAGTGGTGCAGTAGACAGAACCCTGCCTGCCAGTCTCAAGCACTTTGGTTTTAATCTTATCAGATCTTTTTCTAGGCTGATTGGGGCCGTCTACAAATGGATACCAGGCAATAGCCTGGGAAGTTAACAGATGAAGTTGAGTCCTGGGGATCGACTGCATAATGCCAGGTTTGATCCCAAATGGCTCGGTCACTCTCTGCAGAACAGTCAGTCCGCAACCTGCCAAGAGCATCACACAAAGCACAAACTCTGCTACTCCTGCAATAATTCCCAGGGATCTCCATAAAAACTGCAATCATGAGCTGAACAATGCAGCATGAGAGGCAAACAGCTCGACCACGTCGCCAAGGAGACTTGGGAACTGAAGGTGGCCAGTGTAAAGTGGACTTCCTCACTCACTGAGTGTTGACTGGTCTAAGCAAACATAATTCGAGACTTATATGCCCAATGTGCCGTTGGCAAAGTGTTCTTCACTTAAACCCCCCCCCCCCTCCACCCAAACTAAACACAGCAGCAAACTTGTACCCACACGACCAAGAACAACAAACACAAATATATAAATATGTATCGTGAACACAAACAGAATATCTTCCTCCCTGGTCTTACTCATCCTTCCTCAAGTGTCAGGCCTGTGGCTGGTACTGATGTCATTGACCTTACTGTCATCTGTCATCTGATATCTCCACTGTTTCACATCAGATACCCAGGCTGAACCATAACATTTACTGCAGACTCAACATTTACAACATGACCTGTTCAATCAGCAAAAACTCAAATTAGTTATCTTTTACATGTTTCTTGGAGATCAAGGGACTCTCAGCAAAGATCCCCAAAACGATTCCACAATTTCCCCGATCCTTTATTCAATGCCAGTTTGTATGCCTCATGTACCCTCCTGGCCAAGGTGTGTCCAGAGTCCAGTATCAAAGAAATGAGTCCAAATACAAAGAGGTGTGTCCAAATACAAAGAGGTGTGTCCAAATACAAAGAGGGGTGCCCAGATACAAAGAGGTGTGTCCAGATATAAAGAGGTGTGCCCAGATACAAAGAGGTGTGTCCAAATACAAAGAGGTGTGTCCAAATACAAAGAGGTGTGTCCAGATACAAAGAGGTGTGCCCAGATACAAAGAGGTGTGCCCAAAAACAAAGAGGTGTGCCCAGATACAAAGAGGTGTGTCCAGATACAAAGAGGTGTGTCCAAAAACAAAGAGGTGTGTCCAGATACAAAGAGGTGTGTCCAGATACAAAGAGGTGTGTCCAGATACAAAGAGGTGTGTCCAGATACAAAGAGGTGTGTCCAAATACAAAGAGGTGTGCCCAGATACAAAGAGGTGTGCCCAGATACAAAGAGGTGTGTCCAATTAACAAGAGGTGTGTCCAAAAAGGGACAAAGAAACAGTCAACTGATACAACCCATGGTACTTACTCATATGAATAAAGAAGGTGTTTTCTTTGACAAAGACTTGAATAAGCAGATCACTCTTCTTAGAATCCACAATGACCAAGTCATGCCTCATTGCATCCCACTTGGTGGTGATGACTACTCCGACTTCAGTGGCATTCTGGTACCAGTCAAACCTGGACAGATCAACAGTCACTGTTCGCTTTATTAAGTAATGACAACACAAACATATCCCCGAAAGAAGATCATGAGGGAAGCACTACAAGTTCTCATGTACTTCTGAAGAGGCCAGCAAAGATAGTGGCAATGTCCTGAAAAGTAAAGTTGACTGGTATAATCAGACACATCGAGAGTCGACTGGTCTACACAAATAGAGGAGGTCTAGTCCGGTATGCCCAATACGCCTGGAGGTGTGGAAAGTGGTCCTAAACTTTACTGTATGCCTCCCGCACTACTGGTTCCAACAGGGTCCTTGACCTATATTCACTATGGAGGGTTGGCCTGTGCTGGCTGCACAATTCAACATTTCAGCTGCAAAAACCCGCCAACTAAAGAGGCCCAGTGCCAGACTAAAAGATCATCATGAAGTAGCAGATCCTTCGCAAAATGTCACTCTCATCGTGAGAAAAGATGGGAGATCGGTGGAAGAACAGGAAGAAATAAAGAAGGAAGCAGAAAAGAGAATGACATAAAATGTGGACACACTACAAGCAGACGAGGACTGGTGTCGTCAGATAACTGAGGGTCTGGGATCCAGTCAGTCAAGTTTGGTCTAAACAGTAAAAACTGGGACCAGTCAATCTCCATCAGACACTGTCATAGTGTGTGGTCACACAGACTGTTGTTTGTCCATTTCTTAAAGACGCACTTATACCGCTGTCTACCTCTTGCTATGCTACATTCAACTCCGTCTTTATGACGGCTTGATAAAACAGGACATGTCTTTCAACAAGGCAAAACTAACTGCCTTGGCTGTTTAATTACTCTGCCGTTTTATGAGCTGTTGGTGAAGTACAGCATTAAAGACAACCAATCCTTGTAGGGATCGTACTGCAATACTCGGGGGAAAGCAAACGCCTCAACCAACTTTATCCGAACAGACCCACTAGCGCACTAGGCATATAGGGCTTGACTTATATTTTATAGAGCAATCAGCACTCGGTGGGCGATGCAGCTAGCATCACACAGGTCGCTTTTACTTCCCAAGACTTTTATCTAGTACCCATTTAAGACTAGGTCGACCTGGGAGCAAAGGACATTAAAAAAATCTAGCATCGTCCGGATCCAGGGACGACCGTCTGGCCACAACACCATGGCGGCTCTCCGATGTATATAATATTAGGTCGCAGACGAAATCAACGCTAACAAGTTTTGTTTTCAACGGCAAGAGAACCAATTGCGTATGCCTGCCTGGCCACCGGACCCAGCCTTATGGACTCGAGGCCGTATGTATAGGATGGAAGACACGGCTTACCAAGTAGATTCAGGCATAGCTTACCAGGCAGACCCAGCCACCGATTCACAAGCAGACCCAGCCACCGCTTACCAGGTAGACACAGCCACGACTTCACAGGTAGACCCAGCCACGACTTCCCAGTCTAGACCCAGCCACAGCTTACCAGGTAGACACAGCCACCGATTCACAAGCAGACCCAGCCACCGCTTACCAGGTAGACACAGCCACAGCTTACCAGGTAGACACAGCCACAGCTTACCAGGTAGACACAGCCACAGCTTACCAGGTAGAACCAGGCACAGCTTACCAGGTAGACACAGCCACGACTTCACAGGTAGACCCAGCCACGACTTCCCAGTCTAGACCCAGCCACAGCTTACCAGGTAGACACAGCCACCGATTCACAAGCAGACCCAGCCAACGCTTACCAGGTAGAACCAGGCACAGCTTACCAGGTAGACACAGCCACGACTTCCCAGGTAGACCCAGCCACGACTTCCCAGGCAGACCAAGCCACGTCTTCCCAGTCTAGACCCAGCCACAGCTTACCAGGTAGAACCAGGCACGGCTTCCCAGTCTAGACCCAGCCACAGCTTACCAGGTAGAACCAGGCACGGCTTCCCAGTCTAGACCCAGCCACAGCTTACCAGGTAGAACCAGGCACGGCTTCCCAGTCTAGACCCAGCCACGACCATCTCTAGGGACAGCAGTGACCAAGCCAATGTGGGTAGCAGCCTGGTAGGTGCCGCTGACCGGCCAGATGTCGAGTACATGTCCCTAACAGTGCTGATATGTCTACACAAACATGGCTCTACCAAACATATGCCTGACGTACCAGTGACAGGACAAGGCTTCCTATATGCTTTAAAAGGCCCATTTCCCGGTCTGTGACCCACTGGGTATATGGTGCTCAACTCACATTTGTACACACCACCTGACACTACATAGACGGTATCTCCAGCACCATGCCGGCTGCCTTAACTTCCCAGCTGACCTGCCTACAGCAACTGTAGATCTGGTGTGCATGACTTAGTCGTGATTTATTTTCAACAATTCAAACACCGGTGGGTTCCAAACCAAAACCTTCGGGCCGACACGTAGGCGTGTATACCATCATGCCATGTTATTGTTAGAGCCGGATGGGTGGGGGGGGGGGGGGGGTGAAGAAGATGATGATGATGATGATGAAGAGGAGGAGGAAGAGGAGGGTGAAGATACAGCAACAAACACAGAACTCCCATGAAAAATATCCCGTTAGTGCTGCTGATTAAAAAAAAAAAAAAAAAAAGGGAAAAAATTCTTCAAAACTAAATTCACAATCATTACCGGGAAGGAACTATTTGCAAAATGACACTGGTCAACAAGGTCTGGCATGATATAAGAGAAGGCAGTTTGCGGACCAGCCTAGAGGGAAATCAATGGAAGAGACAGGCAATAACTGAATAAACGAACTACCCCCATTCCCCCCCCCCCCCCCCCCCCCCCCCCCCCCCCCCCCCCCCCCACCCCCCCCCCCCCCCCCCCACCCCCCCCCCCCAAAAAAAACCCAACTGAAATGAAGCACAGAAAAAAAAAATCTGATTACGGTGACAAATATTGACGAGGAAACAATAAGCAAGCTTCAGAACACACTTTACTGAACATGGAAGGGTGACAGGAAGCATAAGATGAGACTGTCACATTATTACAAGAACAAATGTGGGAAGGACAAAAACATGCGGGCGGACGGACATGTGCGAATGCAGACAGACAGAACCAATGACTGAACTTTCTCTTGAAAGGGGCACAAACTGGGCACGCAGGCCTGACAGCTCTTCCAAACACTTATCCAGGCAGACAACTAGGTAGACAAAACGAGAGATAATGTCAGTGGAGAGTCAGCAACTGAAGAACAGAAGAAAGATAGAAAGAAAGAAAGAAAGAAAGAAAGAAAGAAAGAAAGAAAGAAAGAAAGAAAGAAAGAAAGAAAGAAAGAAAGAAAGAAAGAAAGAAAGAAAGAAAGAAAGAGAGAAAGAAAAAAAGAAAGAAAGAAAGAAAGAAAGAAAGAAAGAAAGAAAGAAAGAAAGAAAGAAAGAAAGAAAGAAAGAAAGAAAGAAAGAAACAAACAAACAAACAAAGAAAAGGAAAAACAAGAAGGAAAGAAAGACAGAAAGAAAGAAAGCTTAAAGGAAAGGCAGAAAGAACAAAAGAGAACAGAAAGTCTTTCGGACAACCTTCAATTACAGACCGACTGGTTCCGGTGTCACTTGCAGAGTCATATTTTAGAAGGAAAGAATACACCCACAACTCAACAAACATTTCGTAGACTGTGCTTTCTTCCAAGACGGAATGCATCTGCCACAGAAGTGAGGAACCAATAGTCTGCGTACAAAAAGGCAGATCTGTAAAACGGATGTGCGGGCGCAATACATAAGTTCTCGGTCAAGAACCCCCACAGTCCAGAAGTGCACGGACAACAAAAACGTTGAGCTGGAATTTACAGCTAATGAAAGCTCAGAAAAGGAAGGAAGACAGAAGTAAGGATGAGGAAGAAAAAAAAAAACAAGATCAAAAGAAAGAACAGTTTAGTAATGATATTATCTAAACATGTCTCCAGGACAATGAACAACATAAAAACTGCATCTAGTTCCTGATGAAACAGTTTCATAAAAAGAACGGACAGATGCAGAGAACAAAGTGAAAAAAAAAAAAACGCTAACGGACATAAAATTGATGGGCTAACAATGTTTAAGGGTGGAAAGGGGTGGGGGAGCGCAAATGATACAATAAGAGATACAAAAACGGGTGTGGAGAGAGACAGAGAGGAGTATGGAGGGAGGGGGAGGGGAGAGAAAAAAAATCGGAGAGACGTCAACAACATAAAAATCAATACTCGCCAAAGCGGCAAATACAACACTATAAGGGAACAAATTAAACTAAGAGAAATGACAACAAGAAAAGGAATGACACAAGAGAAATGAGGACAAGTGTTTGGAGTCATACAAGCAAGCGGTATTGCGTAGATAAAGGTAAGACTGAGAGAGGGGGGGGGGGAGGGGGAGAGAACTGTAAGGTCAAATAAGGTATGCAATTAAGGTAGAGCAGAACGAGAGAGAAAGAGATGGAAACAAAATAAAGGGGAAGGGGGTGTTGGGGGCTAAAATGCACACAAGGACACTAACTGAACAGAATAAATAACATAATTTGAGAAAACAAGACAGATGTGATGCGTAAAAGTAAAAACACAGACAGGGTGGGAATCGGGGAGGTTCTGAAGACAGAGAAAACGAAAAGCACACGGTATTCATCAACAGACAGCTCAGAAAATAAATCAGAAAAACCCTGACAGAAAACACAACATGGCCGAGAAAGGGAAGAAAAATCGACATGTCAAAAAGGCCAGCAATAGAAAACGTACTCCAGTAATCTGGCTAGCTTTGCCAGTTTCTCCAGGCTCCAGTCTGAGCTTTCATCTCTCATTGATCCCTTGTACCCAGGGAAAACGCTGAGTCTACAGCAGGAGGCAGAAATAACTCAAATAACTAGCGCCAAGAAACGAGGCAACAAACGTGGCGGATACAACGGGAAACGATGTGGAGGGAAGAGGGAGGTAGGGAGGCCAAGACAGGATGAGTAAGAGGGAAGCCTGAACTGGCTGGTGGAGAGAAGGTAGGTATAACGGTAAACTGCAGTTAACGCATTTATACTTCTAGAGAAATCGATGCAGAAACATCAAGACCG